GTAAACAGCTCCGCGCGCGGCCCGCGCCTCGGTCCGGGCTCCGGGACCCCCGAGTTCCCTCCGGAGGGGGCCGCGGCCGCGCGCGCCGGGAGGCGAGCAAAGTTGTACTGGAGGAGGCGGGAGGTGGTTATTCCTCGTAAACAAGTCGGAGGCCACTAAGGAAATTAGCAAACAATGACACTTGGGGAGCAGAGAGCCCTCTTTGGTATTCCACTCCAGCGGCCAGGCTGGGGGCTGGGGGAGAACCTCCTTTCCATCAGGCCGTGCGGACGCCCATCCCGACCAATGGTTGTGCGCTTGGGGGTTTTTTTCCCCAAAGAGAAAGGGAAAGGGTGGAGGTGGTTCTTTTAAGAATGAAAAGGAAGCCCATGAGCTGTACAATCCCATATAAGAATTGTCTATATCCGAAATCTTTTCTAGATATGTTGTTTGAGCTGCAAAGGTGTCTTAGATCACTTATCACTCAGATAAGTATCATTAAAAAAATAATAATCAGCCAGCCAGTTCCTGACCGTTTAACAGGTGTGCACCACAGTGTCTGGGCTTGGGCTGATTTTATCCGGAGAGGGGAAAGTTGACTAGTGTCATCACTTGAACAGTGTGTGTTCAGTTACTTGTTAGAGTCTTTATTTTCCTGATTTTTGACTTTAAAAAACAAAGGGTCAGAACTTGGGAAGAACAGGCGTAAAAATGTCTACAGAGATGCATCGTGTCACTTTAAATTAGAGGCAGGTGACTTTTTTTCATGGCAATGTCACAAGTCCTAATACTGAGTTTAGAACCACTTGGTTTAAATATCTGGATCAATTTGAGGTCAAAACCAAACCACTGAACCTGTCCATTTTTCCTTGGTTGCTCTATCTAGCTTTGGCTAGAATAGAGGGCAAGGCAGTTGTTTTAACAACCTGAGAGAGTCACATAAGCTGATGAAAATAGAGAGCAATTGCAAGTAATAGAGACTTTCAGGCTAAGCTAAGCTAACTATGATGTAGAGTCAATAAAGCCTGCTTTCGGTTGGTCTGAAAATGGTTTTCTTACAGACGTTTTGAAGATTTTCTCGTATTTGTTTCCCCATCTTTAGTTTGACACTGTTTAATGAAAGAGGTCTGAAATAGTTATATGAATTCAAAATATTTGGCTCTGTCCTTCTATGTACATTTTTCCCCCCGGCAGTGTTGATTTCTAAGTCATTTGTACTTTAAAAATCTCTCCATGTGTGACTGGCCTATTTGTCTATCTGATTCATTCAGGAATGTAGGCTGCCTTCTTATTTATGACCTCAGGGGACTCGCTACTTTATCTTAAAAGTGAGAGTACTTCAGTAGACCTTGTCCTGTGAGGTCCAAGGCCATAAAAGGGAAATAGCTGTTAAGAAGGAGCTTCCATTTGCTTACCTAGTCAATCCTGCTTTTTATAAGTAGATTGCCAAAGCACAGTAGCCTCTATAGAGAAACTTCTAGAATATTGTATTTTAAAGTTTGACTGGCATAGCAAGTTTTTCTTCTTCTTTTTCTTTTTTCCTCCTAAATTATGGATCTGATTCTTCTCTGCTCTGCAGGTGTTTTTTAGAAAATAAACTATTGCATATTAAAGTACAGTAGCTGAATGCAAAAGACTCACTTGTGTGAAAGATGGGAACTTTGCTTTCTCATCCAAATTATACTATATTTGAAATAACAAATCAGTATTTTTCCAGTGTGATTGCCTCTAAGCTGCTTAAAGGTGGAGATTTTTCTGGGTAAACTGAGAATGCCAGGTAACTCTAAAGCATACTATTATTCAAATATTCATGAAAATGGGTTGTGGAGACAAATTTGGAATCCTCCCCCAGCCTATGATTGGGCACAGTTTTCTTTTACTTATACAAATCCTTGTCATTTGAAAGAAAAGAAGCCTAGTAATTGGTATCTCTTGGCCAAATTTACAATGAAAACGGTGTGGTCAAGCAAAGCTGTTTTCTAAAGTCAAAGTAATATTTCCAGTGTGTGTAATTCACAGAGTAAGCAGAGTTTTAGGGATTATTAGTAGCTACAAATTCTGTGATTGACTGAGTTCTGGAAAATTATATATTTATAAATTAAAGTATAGGTCATCCATACTATATAGAATGAGATTCTAGTCTATGTTGTTTATTCATATTGTGCAAGTCATTAAAATTCTAATTTTTGGTTGTTTTCTCATCCCAGATTATCATCATGAGGTATATAAGATCTCAGAATTCAGCAACGATGTCAATGGGGAGGCCAAAGACACACAACCCATTTTTTTAGGTAGGTTCTTATGTCAGTTAATTCCTCAGTAAAACAAGGTAGCCATTTGCAATTAGGGGAGGAAAAGGGATTGTGCCAGAACGGGAAATGTCTGCGATTGCTTAATGTATGACATTCTTTTCAAGACCTTTTATTTTACAGATTGCCAATATATTCCTTATTAACATTGGTAAAAGTTGTAATTTCAGACATAAATGTTTATTAGTGTCTACACACAGTGCTAATTATCACTCACTCCCAGAGCCAGATGCTGACGGTGCAGTTTTGTCGCTCTGTGCTCACCCCATTTACATTGCATATTCGCTGGCACGCTTCACTGGCAATAGTTTGTGTAATTGGGGTATTACATCTTTGACATCTGGATAACAGAAATTCAATTTCCAGGAAGCCACTATTTGTTTGGTTTTGCTTCTGCCTTGGGTGGGATAGAGGATTAATACGCTGTCTTATTATTATGTCCCTTCACCTTTGTGGCCTGGTTGCTAATCCTGCCATGACAAAATTAAATTAAATCTACAGTCAAAAAGCGTAAGGAAAATAAAAGTGTGATTGTCTGCCTAACCTACCCTCTTGATAGTGCTAGTTATCATTGCGCAGCTCCTCATTTTCCTGGCTTTGTGTTCATTTCATGCCAACATTTGGGGTCAGGGTCTAGCCAGGCTTTGCTTTCACTGTCTTCGTTCCAGGCTCAGCTCAGAAACAGAGAGCAAAAGCAGCATCTCTGAGACCTTTTGATAAATGTAGCTGCATGATGAATGACTAGGTAGTCCAAAATGTTGCCACTCTTCCTATGCGTAGTTTTTGGTACCTTGCATGTGCAGTTCGTTATCTGCAGACCAGAAGCCCAAAATTAGGATTTTGCCTCTAGGGGTGAGAGACCCATACAGTCAGAATGGAGAGTAAATGGTGACATTTGGCTTTGACCTTGCCCATCCTGGACGCCTTTCCACTGCTGGTAGTAAGGGGAGGGCTGGATGCTGCACAACAAGGAAGCAGAGAAGGGGAGAAAGTCTGGGCAAGAGTGATTAAAAGCAAAGGTCAGAATTGGGGCGAGTTGACCGAGCTTAAGGAAACAGATTGCTGCTCAGACCCAGCGTGAGTAGTGCTACAAATTAAAACAATGTGAAAGCCAGGCAGCATAGTAGTCTGTCACCAGGATCTCTCTCTTTTGCTTTGAGGAAGAGAAAGGGTGTGGCAAAGGACTGAGAAATCAAGCAGACACTTAACAGAGGTAAAATAGGAGGGACATAACATTTTTTACACAAGCAATCATTGAATGCACATGGATCTTTCTATCAAGGAGAGAATATTACTGAGGCCGGCATTGCTCTCAGCACCTGCTTACTGTTAAGAGAACTAAAAATCAAAAGGTTAATAGTCAAGTGAAATGCTGTGACCCAGAAGGAGAATATTCTTGGATTGTACTCTTTCCATTTTCTTAAACTTAATCAGATGGAATTCTGTATTTTCAGTTCCCTCAACTTAATCGGTTGGAATTCTGTATCTAGATACCACTCGATTTATTCATTTGAAATGAAGAATTTGCCTATTAGTAGAACATTTATATTTATCGTATAAACCAATGGAACAGCATGTCCTTGGTTTAATATGTTCCAGTGAAGCAGGAGTTTCCCCTTTCTGCTGTGTACTTGGAAAATGGTAAGGATGCTTTACAGTAGGTTAATTCTGGGTATGACAGGGTGGAGGGTAAAGAACAAGAAGATCCTAGTGCTCAAAATTCAGTAAAATGTACACTCTTGAAGGGGGACGTATTGCTGCTTTCATTTTTCCTAGCTCAAGTCCAGGAAGATAAGAGAACATCAGTGACAGACAAGTATTGGGATAAGCTTTCCAAATTGGGCAGGAAGGCCTTAGACACCCAGAGACAAAAGACTGAACAGCATGAGTGTGCCTGGGTTTCTTTTCAGTCTTTTCCTCTTTCTGGGCAAGGATTGATATGGTTCCTAAAGAACATTTATATTTGATCTCCAGGTCAATTTTTCTTTAAGTGGAAAAGCAGGTGATGACACAAACATAATTTCTAGGGCAACTGGGAATAGTTATGGAGAGCGTATAAAATTAAGGATTTTAAGGATTTTGTTGTTGACGATGTTATAAAATGGACATCTTTTAGTTTGTGATTACTCTTCTGAAAACATAGATTTAAATCATGTTTGTTTTTAAGTCACCAGGGTCTATCCATAATATTACTTATTATGGTGTAGAATTCGGTGCGAAGTTTATCCAAGGAAGTTTGTCAGCAAAACACCAGAAGAACTGTTTCATCCATAACACAGCCCTGAAACATGGCCCTCAGGTTGTTGTACGGCATTTTCTGTGTTCACACGTGTTACCTATGATGCTATCTGCACCTATAAGATTAAAGTACACATCTTGGGGAAAGAGAGTGCTCCAGAATTTGGCAGAGGTCCCCACAGGAAATCTATTTCTCTGCAATATTTTTAGGCTCTTGACTATGTAGGGCGTCCGACATGGGAGGACAGCTCAGTAGTGGGAACAGCTGGGCTGTGTGCTTTGGGAATCACACATTTTAGTGTGATAACAGGGCCAGCAGAGGTTACTTCAACCTGTGCACATTGACTTTTTCAAGCTGGCTGTGATGGACTATTGTAAAGATTTGAGCACTGTTTAGAGAAGAACTTAATTCATTTTAATCAATTCAGCAGGTGTTTGTGGGGAAAATACTATGAAGTGAGCACTTTTCTGGAATGGAAGTGGGGTTGAGGAGTAACAAAATAAATGGATGGTACAAAGTCCCTGCTCTCAAGGATCAAAATCTAGTTGGGGAGATAGGACAAATTCAGGACACAGTGACGGAACAAGATTCAGTAGTCATAACACCTACAGTTGTTTGAGTGCTTACTGTCTGCGCAGCCTTGAGTTGGGTATTTTATGGGAATGATGTCATTTCGTCTGAGAGCAGATCTGTAGGAGCCATTATCATCCTGTTTTATAGATGGGACGTAGAGATGCTAGGTAGCCTACTGGAGGCCTCAAATAGCAGGTGCCACAGCTGGAATCCCCTGCAGGTCTGCCTGAGCTGTGCTGCCACCACACTGCCTGTCTGTGTGACTGATAATTAAATGACAGTGGTGAACCATTGGGGCAACAGGCAAAAGCAGAGTTGGAAGGAAAGGAGCCAGTTCAGGGTCTGGTGGAGAGTTCCTGAGAGGCTAGACCTTGAACTTAGGGAAAGATTTGGATAGACAGGGGATTTGGTGAAGATTGCAGGTGGGGGGGGCGATGTGAGCCACAGCAGAGGATAAGGGTCACTATAATCAGACTTTAAGTGAGGGCTGCACTTCGCAGTTCAGAACATGCTTTCACCTCTTTCATCTCATGATTTTTACAGTACTCCAGCGAGGTAGTTAGGGTGGGTGCTATCACTCCCACTGCCCAGAGGAGGAAACAAGCACAGTTAAGCGACTTGCTCATAAACAGCAGAACCTGGAGAAAACCCAAATCTCCTGTCCAAAGATCTGCTCCCTCAAGCAAGTGGAGCCAGGCAAGTTCAAGGATCATCAAAGAAACCTTAGCTGGTAGCAAGACACTTTTAGAAAGTATTTTAATGAGGTAGTTAATTAATTTATTATTCAGAACAACACCACAAACACAATAAAATATCTTTGTATACGTTGGGTGTTGGTTTAGATTTACTATTATAGGATGTAAATTTGAAACATGTCTATTTTTTAGGTGTTCAATGTCAGTCATTTATTCATATAAAGATATTTATTGAGCTCCAGTTATGTGTCGGACCCTGTTCTTTTTAATATTTGGTTCAGCTATACAACTTTCGGAAGCTGAAGCACGGGTATAGTAGCCATGCCAAGTGAGCAGGGTTGAGATCTTTGAACTTTTGCATCTGTTTTCAGTGGCTTTCCTGATGACAGCTGCCCCCACCAGGGTCCTTAGAGTCTCCTCAAAAATGATACACTCAAAAAATTGCTTCCCACTGTTCCAAGTGAGGGTGTTAGGCCCTGGCCACAGTGTAATTTTCCTTCCTGAGAATGGACGGGTCCACCTTTGAGATGAGGGGGCTCGTCCCCTAGAGTCCATTTGCCTGGGTTCCTGCCTGTTCTTGTTTGGCCTCAAAGGGCTCGGGAGCTGAGCCTCCTTCCAAGCTCTGATAGTTCAGTGTCTCTGTGGCTGGAGTTCTCAGAGAGAGAAGAATCCTCAAATAAAATGAAGGTCCAAGCCCTGCCCAGGTGGCCCAGTTGGTTGGAGCATCATCCTGTATACCAGAAGTTTTCAGGTTCGATCCCTGTTCCGGGTGTGTACGGAAGGCCGATGTTTCTCTCTCACATTGATGTTTCTTTCTCTCTCCTCCTTCCTCTCTCTCTAAAATTAATAAAAGCCATATCTTTGGGTGAGAATTTAAAAAAAAATGGTCCAAGAGAGAGGAAAAGAAAGACCTCTCCCCCCAAAGGCACATCATTTGGAAACAAGAGTGTTTCTCCTCTGCTTCTCTCTAAAGCTCCACGCTCAGCACCATGGCCAACTGTGTCCCCATGTCCCTGGCCTTTTTCATGTCAGCCCTCCCCTTTTTTGGTGGAGTGAAGGGACAGAACAGTAAGAGTGACTCTTGGGGTTAGAAGTGTGGCCAATAATAGTAGGTGTCATTTATGGAGAGCTGGCTGTGTGTCAAGCACTATGCTACTGACTGTGTATGTTGTCCCATTAATTGTCCCAAGAAAAGTATTATCATTTCTGATTTATGGGTGAGGAATTTGAGGAGCTTGGAAAATTACTAAGTGACAGAAACAGGATAAAACCAGGGTCTGTCTCCAGAATCATGTCCTTAACCCCATGAAATGCTTTGTTTAATGCACTCCCTGTGGAACCCTCAATATGTCTAACAGGTGAAAGGGGATGGAGCTTCTTGGAGGAGGCCGAGGAGACCCAAAGCACCTTGCACCATGCCCCACATTCCTCTTCACCCCTGCGGACCTCTGCAGAACTTTTAGGTTACCCTCATC